ATTTTTTGTAGATTTGTAGACATTATATAAATATTTGTTATAGTGTTTAGTATCTATGTGTTAGGTATCAAGTTTCACTTCTGATCACTTCACGTAAGTTAATAGAATGGTTTGTTTTAGTAGTTAGTTTAATGGATTTTAAGTTAGTTTTAATATATGTGACAGTTAATAAGTTTTATTTGTATTGATCACTTTAAGTGCGCTTAAGTGTTTTTGTTTTTAGTTTTTTCCTTTCTTTGATAGGCAATTATATTCAGTATGAGTTCTTTGTTTACCAGCTATTTGACTGTGATTTCTGTTTTTTCTTTTAGATCTGATGATGAATACGAGAAGTATTCGAAACGTTATGTTTTTTAAAGTAAAGATTCTGATACAAGATGTTCAGTATATCCCTGGTTTTCCTATTTATCTTAAAATTAAGATTCCCGAAGGGAACATCGATCATAAATATTTTAGTAAAACGATATGGAAGACCTACAGTTACGTTATACAGAAGAATAGAGAAGGTGGATTTCGCAGTTAAGAAGGCGCACTTGGATTTGGAATTTCTACAAACCTGTAAGGCGCATCGTTTGGTCCCAAGGTTCCTCAGGTTTAAAGTGTATTCCGACAAATTTGCGTTGACAAGTGAATATAATTCTTGGTTATTGAGATTGTTGGACTTTGAAATATCTGAAAAGCAGAAGCGGGTAAATGAGCTGAAAAGTGAATTGCACGTGAACTTGGAGAAATTCAAGATCTTGGTTTCCTGGATTGATTTTTTATATATATATATATATATATATATATATATATATATATATATATATATATATATATATGTCGTACCTAGTAGCCAGAACTCACTTCTCAGCCTACTATTCAAGGCCCGATTTGCCTAATAAGCAAAGTTTTCCTGAATTAATATATTTACTATAATTATTTTCTTATGAAATGATAAAGCAACCCTTTTCCCTATGTATGAGGTAAATTTTTATTTATTGGAGTTAAAATTAACGTAGATATATGACCGAACCTAACCAACCCTACCTAACCTAACCTAACCTATATTTACAGGTAAGGTTAGGTTACTTAGCCAAAAAAAGTTAGGTTAGGTTAGGTTAGGAAGGTTAGGTAGACGAAAAAACATTAATTCATGAAAACTTGGCTTATTAGGCAAATCGGGCCTTGAATAGTAGGCTGAGAAGTGCGTTCTGGCTATTAGGTACGACATATATATATATATATATATATATATATATATATATATATATATATATATATATATATATATATATATATAATTTGATTTTTAGTTTATTTTGTAGTTTAATTTTGTTCAGTTTACCATGTCTTTGCCCTTTCTTACTTATTTCAAGTCTTAACATTGTACATTAATATTATCTTTTATTTAGGATATATAATACATTTTTTGGTATTTAATTTTATTTAATATTTGAGTTTTTTTATATGATTTTGGTTAGTACTTTATAATTGTCGTTTATTCTGTTTGTATTTTACATACATTTTTTGTAGATTTGTAGACATTATATAAATATTTGTTATAGTGTTTAGTATCTATGTGTTGGGTATCAAGTTTCACTTCTGATCACTTCACGTCAGTTTAATGGAATGGTTTGTTTTAGTAGTTATAAATTTCATCTTGTAGTTTAATGGATTTTAAATTAGTTTTAATATATGTGACAGTTAATAAGTTATATTTGTATTGATCACTTTAAGTGCGCTTAAGTGTTTTGTTTTTTAAGCATTTTCCTTTCTTTGATAGACAATTATATTCAGTATGAGTTCTTTGTTTACCAGCTATTTGATTGTGATTTCTGTTTTTTTCTTTTAGATCTGATGATGAATACGAGAAGTATTCGAAACGTTATGTTTTTTAAAGTAAAGATTCTGATACAAGATGTTCAGTATATCCCTGGTTTTCCTATTCATCTTATAATTAAGATTCCCGAAGGGAACATCGATCATATATATATATATATATATATATATATATATATATATATATATATATATATATAATATACACATATATAAACTGAAAACGCTACACCCCAGAAGGATTCGAACCCAGATAGCCAGGAGCACTATAATCCTTGGCGTACCCAGTACCTTAACCACTCGCCCACCGTGACTCTACAAAAGTCATTGGTAGCCGAGGCTATATCCCTAACGACCAGACAGCACTTGGTGGTAAACCTGGGCATAGTTATTTCATCGAATCACCTTTCTTTGTTGGGCCACGTGAGCAACACAAATGCGAACAAGCTTGAATGGCCCCCCAAGCCAATATGCAACTGAAAACTCCACAACCCAGAAGGATTCAAACCAGACAGCCAGGAGCACTATGCACCTTGGCGTACCTGGTACCTTAACCACTCGACCAACGTGGCTGCACAAGGGAAGGGATCTATCAGGGAAAAGTGTCAAGCCAATACGACTATATAGCACTTGGAAGGGGTCAGGATTAGGATTTGGGATGCGACGGGAGTAAGGAATGGTGCCCAAACACATGGATGATCGGGAATTGAACGCCGACCTGCATAAAGCGAGACCAGCCCTAGTGGTTGGGAAAAGTCATTGGTAGCCGAGGCCGAGAATTTACGAGTCGTCGCAAATTTAAATTGTTTAGGTTCAGTGGGGAAGTGGCAAGTGTCGGCCTAGAAGCAAATGTGGCAACTTGATTTGAGAAGATAGCGATGAGGATCCGCCAAAATACTCTGGAAGGAGGGCGCTGAGTCTCACTGGTTTTGGGGATTGTGGTTGGATGAGCATGGGGGGGGGGTTTGCCAATCTGACCATTCAGAGTGAGCCCTGTTGTGACGTTGTGTGACGTCAGCGCCCTAGGTCGGAGGTGGGAAAGCCACCAACTGTCACTGTCTTAATGTTTGTCAAAGTGACAGGTCGTGTCACGTGTTGGTCCTGCAAGGCGAGGTTTTCAGCCACAAGGAGGCACGTCAAGCCTAGCACTACTCAAGAGAAACTGTAGAGGACTCTGGTGCATAGTTTGGTCATCATCTTCTTATCTTGAGGTTATCTTGAGATGATTTCAGGGCTTTAGTGTCCCGCGGCCCGGTCCTCGACCAGGCCTCCACCCCCAGGAAGCAGCCCGTGACAGCTAACTAACTCCCAGGTACCTATTTACTGCTAGGTAACAGGGGCATTCAGGGTGAAAGAAACTTTGCCCATTTGTTTCTGCCTCGTGCGGGAATCGAACCCGCGCCACAGAATTACGAGTCCTGCGCGCTATCCACCAGGCTACGAGGCCCCCCTATCCTACTTTTACCTATCGTAAACTTTTATAACTTTTTCCTATCAAAATGAGAAAAGATATAGATGAATTATTTTGAATTTTGATGATAATAGATTATTATGCCCCAATCTTCAAAAAAAAAAAAAAAAATTGTAATTGGTTTTACTTTCTGATAATTTTTGTTTTGTAATTCTATCCATTTTTCAATATTCAAGTTTAGAAGTTTTATGACAATAAATTATACTTCAAATTAAAAACAACCAAGTAACCCTGACAGAGCATTATTCAGAACATATAATATGTGATATTCATGAGAATCGGTTAAAAATTGCAGCTGATAACACACGTTGAAGTTGCATAACCTCACTTTTGCGTAAATGATGTTCACAATTGGTGCCCCCTAATAGAATAGGTAGATAGCAACTGATTTTCATCAAACTTTGCACTGATGAATGCATGGATAGATGGATGGATTGATAGATAGATGGATGGATGGATAGATAGTTGGATGGATATATAGATAGATGGATTGATAGATAGATAGATGGATTGATAGATAGATGGATGGATTGATAGATAGATGGATGGATGGATAGATGGAATGAAAGATAGATGGAATGATAGAGGGATGGGTAGATAGAAAGTCTGATAGATAGATGGATGGATAGATAGATGGGTGGATAGATAGATTGATGAATATACAGACTGACAAATATACATCTAGATGGATAGCTAGACGGATTAATAGATAGTTGGACATATGAAAGACAGACAGACATGGATATTGCCAACAACCCTCTATTACAAATATATATTATATATATATAAATATATATATATATATATATATATATATATATATATATATATATATATATATATATATATATATATATATATATATATATATATATTAAAGACACTAACAATTCAATATCTTTTATATTACTGACAATTAAATTCATAATTCATCAACGTTATTTCTTAACCAGTATTTTCCCAGGTCATTTCGGAATCCATTTTTTGCGTTTTATTTAGTTTGCTCACATTCAGCCGGTCGGCCGAGCGGACAGCACACTGGACTTGTGATCCTGTGGTCCTGGGTTCGATCCCAGGCGCCGGCGAGAAACAATGGGCAAAGTTTCTTTCACCCTATGCCCCTGTTACCTGGCAGTAAAAATAGGTACCTGGGTGTTAGTCAGCTGTCACGGGCTGCTTCCTGGGGGTGGAGGCCTGGTCAAAGACCGGGCCGCGGGGACACTAAAGCCCCGAAATCATCTCAAGATAACCTCAAGATTCAACATCTTATCAATATCCCATTTAATTTACTCGTATAATTTTTCATTCAAATGTTGATTTGTTTTCTTTCGTCATATTGGAGGTCTCTAACCATTAGGAGCTAATTTTGTAATCCTTCTTTTAATGCGTTCAGATAGAGTTTTGTTCATTATATAGTATGGTGATCAAAACTGTATTTCACAATGTAAACTAATCGGGACCTAATGATAAGTCTCTTAAAACACTAAGCACACAAATGATTTATATAAGATACACATGCAATCACATTTCTGGGCTCAATTTACATTAATATATAATGACAACAACCTGTCCAAAGCCTAATAATAATATTTAATTTCAGCACGTGAATTCCAATTTAGAGTGATCATTGCCAAGTAGAACCTTCTGATGACCAGTTGCTGGTCAGTAATGTTGTTGTTTCATGCCACTAACAAATTTCTATACTCACTGCCGCCCTCAGCGTTGACCTCAGCTTTGTATTCCAACAGCAGCTTCACCAGCTCTAGCTTTCCGATCCTAGCTGCCGCTGTTACTGCCGCTCCTGTACACACACACGCGTTGTGTTACAACATTGTAAAGTATAGAGGAATAATGTACAATTGCTCATTTGTGTGAAATGAATCTTAAGTCATTACCCTGGAAACACAAACCGAAACTGTCTCTATTTTCCGCTTGTTACAACTTGTAATAAAGTTGTTACATCTTGGCTTAACGTGTTTATGACGTATTAGAACGTTGTTACAACTTGCTATATTGGTTGTTATAACTGGTTAGGAGGTGTTAAGACTTGTTCGAACGTTGTACCAACGTCGTAGTTTCGGTGTGTGTTTGGCGGGTATAATTGGAGAGTATAATTCGCCAACACTAAAAAAATGAGGTGAATCATTCTCTACAAACTCTGGGAAAAGTTTGTTAACAAATTTGTTGAAAAATCTGCTATTTGAAAAGGTAGATAACGATATACGGAAGACAAATGTTCTAGATTTAATTGCAACTAGTAGGAATTGGTATATAATGAATGGCTAGTAAAGAATTCATTTAAGCGACTATCGTCATATCACATTCAATGTTAAATTCAGTAATAAAAAGAAAGTCGCCAGAAAAAGTTACAGATTTCAATAAATTTAATTTTAACAAAATGCGTCAACAGCTTTCATACCAAAATTGTAATTATATCACAGCTTGGACGGAACATGGAAGATGTTTATAATTTATCTTTAAGTTTTCTTGCACCGCTGCGAAACAAGCTGTTTAAGTGTGTCGAAAATAAAATCCGTGTCTAGGCTCCAAGTGCCTATTGTATGAGTTTATATGTATATGTGTTTATGTGTGTATATATGTGTATTAAATGTAATACTTGTTAGCTGGCTTTTCTCTATTTCTTGTGAGGCTTCCTGGCTAGAGAGAGAGAGAAAGACACGGCTATAATTCGTGTGACAGCGGACTACTACTAATTAAGGGGGATTGACAGATCATCCCACAGTAGTGCAGGGAGAGTGCAGGGAGTCACGGCGGCTCAAGAGCGGGTGTGTGTTCTCATGGCAACCAGGCAGTGTCCCTGGAAACACAAACCGAAACTGTCTCTATTTTCCGCTTGTTACAACTTGTAATAAAGTTGTTACATTTTGGCTTAACGTATTTATGACGTATTAGAATGTTGTTACAACTTGCTATATTGGTTGTTATAACTGGTTAGGAGGTGTTAAAACTTGTTCGAACGTTGTACCAACGTCGTAGTTTCGGTGTGTGTTTGGCGGGTACGTGAGCCTTACCCCTGAATAAAAGTGATGCTGAATCCCTCTCCCAGAACCAGACGCTTACCAGGGTGATCTCGCAAATAATTGCAAGCACCCCTAGTGTCCATTGCTGGTCGATCGACGGTAGCAGGAGTTTGACTACCAAGGTCGGCTGTTTGTTCTGTCAGGGAGTGGTTGGGGGTCTCTGTTCGACGGTAAGCAAGTATCAGGTTGGTTCAAATAACCAAGTTTCATTGTATTCCAACCCCCAACCCCCCCTTGATAGTTGAACAATGTCTAGTAATACCGTGTTTATATACTAGTGATACTGAGGTTTGCATAATCTAACTGCTCTTTTCAACTAATTCCTGTGAAGTCAAGGTTTATTAGTTACCAGTTAATAAGATTTTTGTTTAAGTTTACATTTCAGAATTCTCCTGATCTTGAATTTGAGTTCGACGGTGCAGGCCTACAGTTCATTACACACAGAAATCACAATAGCGTGATATATCAAATGAACAAATCCACAAGGGTCGTGATGAGGGCTCGAACGGGGCACGGGGTGTTCCCAGAAGAGCCTTAGTCAACTGTACTACGACATGGTCAAAGGAATTGCAACCTGGAGAAGTACTACTGCACCTTAATAGGATCCCCAAGTTTCTCCTTAGCCCAATCGGGGTTTCATTTTTTAAATGAAACTTAATTTGTATTCTTGTGATCCACAAGAACACTTGTGGATTTGTTCTACAGGGCATGCTTGTCTGAACATATATTTGGGTGTGATATGAGTAATATGTATTTAAAATAATTATTTTTATATCAGTTCAACAGTTCTTCATCAACAGCATTGTCATGAACGCTCACCATCATCAACACTATGGTCAAGAACACTTGTAATCATCAACACCATGGTCAAGAACACTTGTAATCATCAACACTATGGTCAAGAACACTTGTAATCATCAACACCATGGTCAAGAACACTTGTAATCATCAACACCATGGTCAAGAACACTTGTAATCATCAACACTATGGTCAAGAACACTTACCATAGTCAGCACCATGGTCAAGAACACTTACCATAGTCAGCATCATGGTCAAGAACACTAACCATAGTCAGCACCATGGTCAAGAACACTAACCATATTCAGCATCATGGTCAAGAACACCTACCATAGTCAGCATTAACGTCAGCACCATGGTCAAGAACGCTTACCATACTCAGCATTAACGTCAGCATCATGGTCAAGAACACTTACCATAGTCAGCATCATGGTCAAGAACACTTACCATATTCAGCATCATGGTCAAGAACACTTACCATATTCAGCATCATGGTCAAGAACACTTACCATAGTCAGCATCATGGTCAAGAACACTTACCATAGTCAGCATCATGGTCAAGAACACCTACCATAGTCAGCATTAACGTCAGCATCATGGTCAAGAACACTTACCATAGTCAGCATCATGGTCAAGAACACTTACCATAGTCAGCATCATGGTCAAGAACACTTACCATAGTCAGCATCATGGTCAAGAACACTTACCATAGTCAGCACCATGGTCAAGAACACCTACCATAGTCAGCATTAACGTCAGCACCATGGTCAAGAACACCTACCATAGTCAGCATCATGGTCAAGAACACTTACCATAGTCAGCATCATGGTCAAGAACACCTACCATAGTCAACATTAACGTCAGCACCATGGTCAAGAACACCTACCATAGTCAACATTAACGTCAGCATCATGGTCAAGAACACTTACCATAGTCAGCATCATGGTCAAGAGCACTTACCATAGTCAGCACCATGGTCAAGAACACCTACCATAGTCAGCATCATGGTCAAGAACACTTACCATAGTCAGCATCATGGTCAAGAACACTTACCATAGTCAGCACCATGGTCAAGAACACTTACCATAGTCAGCATCATGGTCAAGAACACTAACCATAGTCAGCACCATGGTCAAGAACACTAACCATAGTCAGCACCATGGTCAAGAACACTAACCATAGTCAGCACCATGGTCAAGAACACTAACCATAGTCAGCACCATGGTCAAGAACACTAACCATAGTCAGCACCATGGACAAGAACAGTTACCATAGTCAGCATCATGGTCAAGAACACTTACCATAGTCAGCATCATGGTCAAGAACACCTACCATAGTCAGCATTAACGTCAGCATCATGGTCAAGAACACTTGCCATAGTCAGCATTAACGTCAGCACCATGGTCAAGAACACTTACCATAGTCAGAACCATGGTCAAGAACACTTACCATAGTCAGCATCATGGTCAAGAACACTTACCATAGTCAGCACCATGGTCAAGAACACCTACCATAGTCAGCATTAACGTCAGCACCATGTTCTAAGAGGAGCCTCACGACACTCGTGTGTCCCGCTGCTGAAGCATTTGTTAGTGGAAAGCCTGACAATGGATAACTGTTGTTAGATATAAATGCACTTGTGATCAAATGCTTGTAATCTGAATTTAAATTGGTATTTAGCCTGTTTTTCTGTCTTCCATTCGAAATATCAATCACCCAGTAAGACATTATATATATATTTGACATATGTTGTACCTAATAGATAGAACGCACTGCTTGGACTAGTATAATGTTAGGTTAGGTTTGGTCATATTTCTACATTAGTTTTACCTCAAATTAAAAACAAGTCACATGTAATATAATGGAGATCTTTATTATTTCATAATAGAATATTTAAAAATATATAACTTCAGGAAATCCGGAAAACTCGGCTTATTAGGCAAATCAGGCTTTGCATAGTAGGCCAAGTAGTGCGTTGTGTCTATTGAGTACAACATTTATATATATATATATATATATATATATATATATGTCGTACCTAATAGCCAGAACGCACTTCTCAGCCTACTATGCGAGGCCCGATTTGCCTAATAAGCCAAGTTTTCCTGAAATAATATATTTTTTCTAATTTTTTTCTTATGAAATGATAAAGCTACCCATTTCATTATGCATGAGGTCAATTTTTTTTTTATTGGAGTTAAAATTAACGTAGATATATGACCGAACCTAACCAACCCTACCTAACCTAACCTAACCTATCTTTATAGGTTAGGTTAGGTTAGGTAGCCGAAAAAGTTAGGTTAGGTTAGGTTAGGTAGGTTAGGTAGTCGAAAACACATTAATTCATGAAAACTTGGCTTATTAGGCAAATCAGGCCTTGCATAGTAGGCTGAGAAGTGCGTTCTGGCTATTAGGTACGACATATATATATATATATATATATATATATATATATATATATATATATATATATATATATATATATATATATATATACAGTGGAACCTCTATTAACGAGTTTAATCCGTTCTGGCACCAAGCTCGTTACCTGGAAAACTCGACTTTGGAAACAAATTTCCCCATTTAAAATAAAGGAAATAAATTTAATCCGTTCCACTCCCAAAAACATCCATACTTGTATGACATTTTTTAATGTCAATTTAATACTGCACATGTAATTATAAATGTTTTGTTGTACTGTTTTAACATTTACTTTACCTTATGAAGAGTCGTTGCTGGCTTGAGGGAGACGATGGGGAGGTGGGAAGGAGGAAAGGGGTTATGGTGTGGAAGGAGAATCCACCTCTGAGTCAGGTGGGCTCTCTCTTCTTGGGATTTTCACCCCACTGGGACCGGGTTGTGGTTCACTATCACTGGCTCTTCGTTTCTCTACTTTTGGAAAGAACTTTTCTATTGACAATTGCTTTTGTCTTTGTTTTAGGATGTCCCTAAAACGAGACAGTAAATTGTCATTAAACATGTTCACACATCGGGTTGTCACTGCTTGATCAGGGTGATGTTTTTCTAAGAATGCGGTCACCTTTTCAAACATTCCTAACACTTCCCTGATCTCACTTGAAGAGGCAGCAGCATCCTCCTGTACCTCCTCCTCCCCTGATGAGAACTCTTGTGTCTCCTTTTGATTAAACTCCTTCTGAAGTTCCAGGAGTTCCTCAGTGGTCAGTTCCTCACTGTGCTCCTCCACTAACTCCTGCACATCAGTAGCATCCAACTCCAGACCCAAAGTTTGCCCCAGAGCAACAATATCATCCACTAGATGCACTTCCGGGTCTTCCACAGGTGCAGATGCAGGTGCAGGACCGAAACCTTCAAAGTCTCGCTCATGGACACCCTCAGGCCACAGGTTACGCCATGCAGAGTTAAGGGTCCTCCTTGTCACTCCTTCCCAGGCCTTATCGATCAAACGTAAGGCACCCAGGATATTGAAGTGGTTCTTCCAGAATTCTTTGAGGGTCAGCCCTGTATTGTCGGTCACATCAACACACCTCTCCAACAAGGCCTTCATGTAGAGTTTCTTAAAGTTTGCAATGACTTTCTGGTCCATAGGTTGGAGGAGTGGAGTGGTATTGGGAGGAAGGAACTTGATGGTGATGAACTGATTTTCAGGATACAATTCATCTCGCATCTGTGGAGGATGTGCAGGAGCATTATCAAGCACAAGCAAGGCCTTGAGTGGCAACTGTTTCTCTTCAAGATATTTCCTCACTGAGGGGCCAAAAACATCATTGATCCATTCAGTGAAGAATATCCGCGTGACCCAGGATTTCTTATTGGACCTCCACATCACATTCAGTCGCGCCTTATACACTTTACATGCCTTGAACACGCGTGGATTTTCTGAGTGGTAGACCAGCAGCGGCTTGACCTTGCAATCGCCACTTGCATTGGCGCAGAGGACGAGAGTAAGCCGATCCTTCATCGGTTTGTGGCCAGGCAAAGATTGTTCCTCCTGTGTGATGTAGGTCCTCTTCGTCATTTTCTTCCAAAACAGGCCAGTCTCGTCACAATTAAAAACTTGTTGGGGCAAGAACTCCTTTTCAGCAACAAATTCCTGGAACTCTGGTACAAATTTCTCAGCAGCAGCTTTATCAGAGCGTTCTGTTTTGTGTCTGGAGAGTTTCTCATGAGTAGGCTGGCCGTTTTTCTGGTTTTATAGTAAATCGTCAGTTGTATCCTCTGATTTTTGTCTGTAGGGATAACGTTTCTATTAACAATATCTTTCAGGACCCTTTCCTCCGTTTTATGAGCTGTGGAAAAGAATGTGGAAAGCCTACTCATGAGAAACTCTCCAGACACAAAACAGAACGCTTTAAAAGAGACTAACGTCGTCTATGCCTTCAAATGCCCTCTTGGGGACTGTAAGCTCCAAAAAAAACAGTATATAGGCAAGACAACAACATCTCTTTCTAGGCGTTTAACGATGCATAAGCAACAGGGCTCCATTAAGGAACATATAATCTCTTCCCACAACCAAACCATCGCCAGAGAAATCCTAGTAAACAACACAGAAATCATCAATAGATACAGCGATAGCAGGCGGCTTGACGTTTGCGAGGCACTACACATCAAGAAGTGAACACCAGCAATCAACAGCCAATTATTGCACAACTATATTCTACCCACCTCAAGACTCCGCTCCAATATAGAAGCATCAAGAAATATGGACCAATAGGCTTTCTACAAACACTTCTATTCAATATCCATTGTTTCGTGTTCTGTCTTGTGTTGATGAAATTAATACCCTATTAATACTCTTGTTCTGTCTTGTGTTGATGAAATTAATACCCTATTAATACCACATCTTGTTCTGTCTTGTGTTAATGCCACATCACCCCTTCCACCTCACTCAAATGTAGATATAAAATCGGAGATGCGTAAGTTCTATTCAGTTGTGTATTTGTGAACTAAAGTCTTTGAAAATGTAATAAGTTTTACGAAACGCGCTCGTGTCGCGTCAGACTAGAAATAAAAATGAATTTTGGAGAATTGATTTTTGATTTACCTCCAACAGTGAAATGAAATGTACGAAAGATTGAGAAAATTCGTGTTAGAATTATTAATCTTACTTTTTCGGTCAAATTTAATAATATATTATATATATATATATATATATATATATATATATATATATATATATATATATATATATATATATGTCGTACCTAGTAGCCAGAATGCACTTCTCAGCCTACTATGCAAGGCCCGATTTGCCTAATAAGCCAAGTTTTCATGAATTAATTGTTTTTCGACTACATAACCTACTTAACCTAACCTAACCTAACTTCTTCGGCTACCTAACCGAACCTAACCTATAAAGATAGGTTAGGTAGGGTTGGTTAGGTTCGGTCATATATCTACGTTAATTTTTACTCTAATGAAAAAAAATTGACCTCATACGTAATGAAATGGGTAGCTTTATCATTTCAAAGGAAAAAAATTAGAGAAAATATATTAATTCAGGAAAACTTGGCTTATTAGGCAAATCGGGCCTTGCATAGTAGGCCGAGAAGTGCATTCTGGCTACTAGGTACGACATATATATATATATATATATATATATATATATATATATATATATATATATATATATATGTCGTACCTAATAGCCAGAACGCACTTCTCAGCCTACTATTCAAGGCCCGATTTGCCTAATAAGCCAAGTTTTCATGAATTAATGTTTTTTCGTCTACCTAACCTACCTAACCTAACCTAACCTAGCTTTTTTTGGCTACCTAACCTTACCTTACCTATAAATATAGGTTAGGTTAGGTTAGGTAGGGTTGGTCAGGTTCGGTCATATATCTACGTTAATTTTAACTCTAATAAAAAAAAATTGACCTCATACATAGAGAAAAGGGTTGCTTTATCATTTCATAAGAAAAAAATTATAGTAAATATATTAATTCAGGAAAACTTGGCTTATTAGGCAAATCGGGCCTTGAATAGTAGGCTGAGAAGTGAGTTCTGGCTACTAGGTACGACATATATATATATATATATATATATATATATATATATATATGTCGTACCTAGTAGCCAGAACTCACTTCTCAGCCTACTATTCAAGGCCCGATTTGCCTAATAAGCCAAGTTTTCCTGAATTAATATATTTACTATAATTTTTTTCTTATGAAATGTTAAAGCAACCCTTTTCTCTATGTATGAGGTCAATTTTTTATTATTGGAGTTAAAATTAACGTAGATATATGACCGAACCTAACCAACCCTACCTAACCTAACCTAACCTATATTTATAGGTAAGGTTAGGTTAGGTAGCCAAAAAAGTTAGGTTAGGTTAGGTTAGGTAGGTTAGGTAGACGAAAAAACATTAATTCATGAAAACTTGGCTTATTAGGCAAATCGGGCCTTGAATAGTAGGCCGAGAAGTGCGTTCTGGCTATTAGGTACGACATATATATATATATATATATATATATATATATATATATGTCGTACCTAGTAGCCAGAACTCACTTCTCAGCCTACTATGCAGGGCCCGATTTGCCTAATAAGCCTAGTTTTCATGAATTAATGTTTTTTCGACAACCTAACCTACCTAACCTAACCTAACCTAACGTTTTCGGCTACCTAACCTAACCTAACCTATAAAGATAGGTTAGGTTAGGTTAGGTAGGGTTGGTTAGGTTTGGTCATATATCTACGTTAATTTTAACTCCAATAAAAAAAAATTGACCTCATACATAATAAAATGGGTAGCTTTATCATTTCATAAGAAAAAAATTAGAGAAATATATATTAATTCAGTAAAACTTGGCTTATTAGGCAAATCGGGCCTCGCATAGTAGGCTGAGAAGTGAGTTCTGGCTACTAGGTACGACATATATATATATATATATATATATATATATATATATATATATATATATATATATATATAATATATATATATATATATATATATGTATATCACGAAAATAAACACGTGATTAAAAATGTGACAATGTCAGACCACAGAGGAAAAATGAAACAGGAATTTCCTTAAGTACTTTCGTATATTAATACATCTTCAGAAGGACTCCTTCTGAAGATGTATTAATATACGAAAGTACTTAAGGAAATTCCTGTTTCATTTTTCCTCCGTGGTCTGACATTGTCATATATATATATATATATATATATATATATATATATATATATATATATATATATATATATATATATATATATATATATATATATATCTTGTAACCATCAAATGCATAATAAAGCACAAAAAATATTCAAGGAAGGGGGTGGTAGGAGAAAAGCACACAGAAACTGTATTGGAAGGGATCTAAACATTCCCTCCAATGCGTTATGTGTGGTTTCCTCCGAGGCTATGGGTCCCCCTTCTTCCAGCTAGAGGTGGTACTCCCTTCCTATGTATAAAAAAAAAAAAAAAAAAAAATATATATATATATATATATATATATATATATATATATATATATATATATATATATATATATATATATATATATATGTTTTTTTTATTATTAAAAAAAAAAAAAAAATATATATATATATATATATATATATATATATATATATATATATATATATATATATATATATATATAAAAACTCAATGAACTCCTAACTCCATACACTCCAAGTAAGTTTAGTCTACAATCATCAGCAGATTTCCTAGAATTGATCAAATCTACCCAGCCCGATGGAATCATCGCTTCACTGGACGTTGAATCCCTTTTTACCAACGTCCCAGTCGACACAACCATAGGAATGATACTGGACAGAGTATACAGAGACGAGAGCACCCCCAAATTAGACATACCTGAGCCACACTTGAAAAGTCTTCTCGAAGCATGTACAAAGGAAGCCCCTTTCATTAGTCCACAAGGAGACATGTATTTACAGATAGACGGAGTAGCAATGGGCTCCCCCTTAGGAGTTTTATTTGCTAATTTTTATATGGGAACCATCGAAGATAGGGTCTTCAGTAGCAGACAAAAACCAACTGTATACTGCCGTTATGTAGATGACATATTCGTAATAGTAGAAGACTCAGATGAACTAATTGACCTAAAAAGACACCTAGAGAGAGAGTCAGTACTCCGATTTACACATGAAAATAGTGAAAATAACAGTCTGCCATTCTTGGATGTACTAATAATAAAAACAGGAACCTCTTTAAGCACCAACGTATATACCAAGCCCACCAACATAGGATTATGCCTGAACGGTAGAAGTGAGTGCCCCCAAAGATACAAAGCCAGTGTTCTCAATGCTTATATTCGTCGAGCGCTTACCCACTGCTCTGAATGGAGCAACGTGAGTAGAGAGTTTGAAAGAGTAACTCAGGTATTGGTGAACAACGGATATAGCAACGCGGAAATAAACGCTGCTATAAGAAGACACTTGGACCGTTGGTATAATTCAGAACCTAGAACAGAAACCACAACACCCCCAATAAAATTATATTACAAATCAACCATGCACAGTGAACATATAAAAGAGGAAAGAATAATGAAAGAAATAATCCGTAAAGGAGTAAAAAGCACTACTCCTAACCAAAACATAAACCTGATAATATTCTACAAAACCAAGAAGACTTCCGAACTCCTTATCAAAAACAGCCCGAAGCCGACGGAGAACCCTCTACAGCAGTCAAGCGTTGTATACATGTACACTTGCCCCCACGAAGGATGTAACCTTCAATGTAAGTACATAGGTATGACGTCGACCAAGCTGACGAGGCGTTTGACATGCCATCTTCAATCTGGTGCCCCTAGGAATCACATGAGACAAGCCCATGACATTACTCTAACAAGAGAAATGTTGAACAAGAATACTTGCATAATAGATAAAACCCAAGATTCAAGAAGATTACAAATTCTTGAGGCAATTCACATAAGAATGGAGCGACTTACCATGAACACCCAAATCACGGAACTATTTACTCTACCCACCATGAGAGTAAGGACAAGACAAGAACATATCGATGCCAACACAGAAGACAATGTCCAACATAACAGGCCAATTACACTGGATTAATCTTTGTGTTTAGATAGGAGATGCCTCGTATGGGCCAATAAGCCTTCTGCAGCCCCTATGTTTATCCCTTATGTATCCCCCCATGTTTTTTACCTTCATTGTATTATCACCTGACCTAATGCGGGTATAAAATCAACTAGTATTGTAAGATTGTTCACTTGAGAATGAACCATGGAGGTTCGAAACGTCGTGCAAATTATACAAATAAGTGTAATACACTCTATAGTAAATCACTTCTTTTCTTCACCTTAAAAAAGTACGAAAATGAGTTTTGGAGAACTCCTATTCCAATTAAGCCCTGATGCTAAGAAAATAGTTAGAGGGATAGAAGCCCTAAACCAGAAAATAATAAATACAGAATATGCGGTCATATTCAATGAAACATGTTTGAAAGAAAACCTGCTGCCAGTATACACCAATATATATATATATATATATATATATATATATATATATATATATATATATATATATATATATATATATATATATATATATATATATATATATATATATATATATATATATAAATATATATATATATATATATATATATATATATATATATATATATATATATATATATATATATATATATGTAATATATATGTATATGTATATGCACAGACTACCCTATTCCAGTAGCTGAAGTTTATAACTTTTTAGACACTCATCGCACCAGGGGACTCGAACACTGGCCAACAAGGTGGCAGTGGCATGCTGTATCCACTACACCATACTTCAAAGCCATAAAGAGAGGTAGGAATTCTGGGGTATTTAACCAACCAGAACTCCAATCATTGGAGTTCTGGTTGGTTAAATACCCCAGAATTCTGGTGATTGGAGCAAGATAATCGAGAATATCATCAACCGGTACCTTATGTTAATCATTTTTGACGTTTGTTCCTTGTTCACAAAGGTACCGGTCGATGATATTCTCGATTATCTTGCTCGTGAACTAATGAGCCATGTTTTACCTCTTTCTGCTGATATTATTGTCAGTCTTGTTAAGTTGTGCATTAAAGAATGTAAATTTACCTTTAATAATGAGTATTATTTACAGACTTTTGGAATGGCAATGGGGAATCCTCTATCGCCATTGCTCTCAAACCTGTAAATGGAATTCTTCGAAAAGAAATTTGTTTCAAAAATAACTCCTGGAATCATTCCTTGGTTTAGATATGTTGATGATAACTTGTGTATTTGGCCTTCAGATGTAAACACAGACGAATTTGTAGCCAAACTTAATGACCAAGTCACCTCCATAAAATTTACTATGGAGACCATAGTCCACACTTACCATAGTCAGCACCATGGTCAAGAACACTTACCATAGTCAGCATCATGGTCAAGAACACTTACCATAGTCAGCACCATGGTCAAGAACACGTACCATAGTCAGCACCATGGTCAAGAACACTTACCATAGTCAGCACCATGGTCAAGAACGCCTACCATAGTCAGCATCATGGTCAAGAACACTTACCATAGTCAGCACCATGGTCAAGAACACTTACCATAGTCAGCATCATGGTCAAGAACACTTACCATAGTCAGCATCATGGTCAAGAACACTTACTATAGTCAGCACCATGGTCAAGAACGCCTACCATAGTCAGCATCATGGTCAAGAACACTTACCATAGTCAGCACCATGGTCAAGAACACTTACCATAGTCAGCATCATGGTCAAGAACACCTACCATAGTCAGCATTAACGTCAGCATCATGGTCAAGAACACTTGCCATAGTCAGCATTAACGTCAGCACCATGGTCAAGAACACTTACCATAGTCAGAACCATGGTCAAGAACGCCTACCATAGTCAGCATCATGGTCAAGAACACTTACCATAGTCAGCACCATGGTCAAGAACACCTACCATAGTCAGCATTAACGTCAGCACCATGTTCTAAGAGGAGCCTCACGACACTCGTGTGTCCCGCTGCTGAAGCATTTGTTAGTGGAAAGCCTGACAATGGATAACTGTTGTTAGATATAAATGCACTTGTGATCAAATGCTTGTAATCTGAATTTAAATTGGTATTTAGCCTGTTTTTCTGTCTTCCATTCGAAATATCAATCACCCAGTAAGACATTATATATATATTTGACATATGTTGTACCTAATAGATAGAACGCACTGCTTGGACTAGTATAATGTTAGGTTAGGTTTGGTCATATTTCTACATTAGTTTTACCTCAAATTAAAAACAAGTCACATGTAATATAATGGAGATCTTTATTACTTCATAATAGAAAATTTAAAAATATATAACTTCAGGAAATCAGGAAAACTCGGCTTATTAGGCAAATCAGGCTTTGCATAGTAGGCCAAGTAGTGCGTTGTGTCTATTGGGTACAACATTATATATATATATATATATATATATATATATATATATATATATATATATATATATATATATATGTCGTACCTAGTAGCCAGAACTCACTTCTCAGCCTACTATGCAAGGCCCGATTTGCCTAATAAGCCAAGTTTTCATGAATTAATGTTTTTTCGTCTACCTAACCTACCTAACCTAACCTAACCTAGCTTTTTTTGGCTACCTAACCTAACCTTACCTATTAAGATAGATTAGGTTAGGTTAGGTAGGGTTGGTTAGGTTCGGTCATATATCTACGTTAATTTTAACTCCAATAAAAAAAAATTGACCTTATACATAGTGAAAAGGGCAGTTTATCATTTCATAAGAAAAAAATTATAGAAAATATATTAATTCAGGAAAACTTGGCTTATTAGGCAAATCGGGCCTTGCATAGTAGGCTGAGAAGTGAGTTCTGGCTATTAGGTACGACATATATATATATATATATATATATATATAAATATATATATATATATATATATATATATATATATATATATATATATATATATATATATATATATATATATATATATATAAATATATATATATATAACTGAAAACTCACACCCCAGAAGTGACTCGAACCCATACTCCCACAACTGGTATGTACAGGGACGCCTTAATCCGCTTGACCATCACGACCGGACATAAGGAAGTGATAGCCGAGGCTATATGAACCACTTCCCCGCCGGCACTCGGATGGTAATCTTGGGCATAGCATTTTATCAAATCACCTCATTCTTTGGGGCACACGTGAGGAACACAAATGCAAACAAGCCTGAATGGTCCCCAGGACTATATACAACTGAAAACTCACACCCCAGAAGTGACTCGAACCCATACTCCCACAACTGGTATGTACAGGGACGCCTTAATCCGCTTGACCATCACGACCGGACATAAGGAAGTGATAGCCGAGGCTATATGAACCACTTCCCCGCCGGCACTCGGATGGTAATCTTGGGCATAGCATTTTATCAAATCACCTCATTCTTTGGGGCACACGTGAGGAACACAAATGCAAACAAGCCTGAATGGTCCCCAGGACTATATACAACTGAAAACTCACACCCCAGAAGTGACTCGAACCCATACTCCCACAACTGGTATGTACAGGGACGCCTTAATCCGCTTGACCATCACGACCGGACATAAGGAAGTGATAGCCGAGGCTATATGAACCACTTCCCCGCCGGCACTCGGATGGTAATCTTGGGCATAGCATTTTATCAAATCACCTCATTCTTTGGGGCACACGTGAGGAACACAAATGCAAACAAGCCTGAATGGTCCCCAGGACTATATACAACTGAAAACTCACACCCCAGAAGTGACTCGAACCCATACTCCCACAACTGGTATGTACAGGGACGCCTTAATCCGCTTGACCATCACGACCGGACATAAGGAAGTGATAGCCGAGGCTATATGAACCACTTCCCCGCCGGCACTCGGATGGTAATCTTGGGCATAGCATTTTATCAAATCACCTCATTCTTTGGGGCACACGTGAGGAACACAAATGCAAACAAGCCTGAATGGTCCCCAGGACTATATACAACTGAAAACTCACACCCCAGAAGTGACTCGAACCCATACTCCCACAACTGGTATGTACAGGGACGCCTTAATCCGCTTGACCATCACGACCGGACATAAGGAAGTGATAGCCGAGGCTATATGAACCACTTCCCCGCCGGCACTCGGCAAGATTACCATCCGAGTGCCGGCGGGGAAGTGGTTCATATAGCCTCGGCTATCACTTCCTTATGTCCGGTCGTGATGGTCAAGCGGATTAAGGCGTCCCTGTACATACCAGTTGTGGGAGTATGGGTTCGAGTCACTTCTGGGGTGTGAGTTTTCAGTTGTATATAGTCCTGGGGACCATTCAGGCTTGTTTGCATTTGTGTTCCTCACGTGTGCCCCAAAGAATGAGGTGATTTGATAAAATGCTATGCCCAAGATTACCATCCGAGTGCCGGCGGGGAAGTGGTTCATATAGCCTCGGCTATCACTTCCTTATGTCCGGTCGTGATGGTCAAGCGGATTAAGGCGTCCCTGTACATACCAGTTGTGGGAGTATGGGTTCGAGTCACTTCTGGGGTGTGAGTTTTCAGTTGTATATAGTCCTGGGGACCATTCAGGCTTGTTTGCATTTGTGTTCCTCACGTGTGCCCCAAAGAATGAGGTGATTTGATAAAATGCTATGCCCAAGATTACCATCCGAGTGCCGGCGGGGAAGTGGTTCATATAGCCTCGGCTATCACTTCCTTATGTCCGGTCGTGATGGTCAAGCGGATTAAGGCGTCCCTGTACATACCAGTTGTGGGAGTATGGGTTCGAGTCACTTCTGGGGTGTGAGTTTTCAGTTGTATATAGTCCTGGGGACCATTCAGGCTTGTTTGCATTTGTGTTCCTCACGTGTGCCCCAAAGAATGAGGTGATTTGATAAAATGCTATGCCCAAGATTACCATCCGAGTGCCGGCGGGGAAGTGGTTCATATAGCCTCGGCTATCACTTCCTTATGTCCGGTCGTGATGGTCAAGCGGATTAAGGCGTCCCTGTACATACCAGTTGTGGGAGTATGGGTTCGAGTCACTTCTGGGGTGTGAGTTTTCAGTTGTATATAGTCCTGGGGACCATTCAGGCTTGTTTGCATTTGTGTTCCTCACGTGTGCCCCAAAGAATGAGGTGATTTGATAAAATGCTATGCCCAAGATTACCATCCGAGTGCCGGCGGGGAAGTGGTTCATATAGCCTCGGCTATCACTTCCTTATGTCCGGTCGTGATGGTCAAGCGGATTAAGGCGTCCCTGTACATACCAGTTGTGGGAGTATGGGTTCGAGTCACTTCTGGGGTGTGAGTTTTCAGTTGTATATAGTCCTGGGGACCATTCAGGCTTGTTTGCATTTGTGTTCCTCACGTGTGCCCCAAAGAATGAGGTGATTTGATAAGATGCTATGCCCAAGATTACCATCCGAGTGCCGGCGGGGAAGTGGTTCATATAGCCTCGGCTATCACTTCCTTATGTCCGGTCGTGATGGTCAAGCGGATTAAGGCGTCCCTGTACATACCAGTTGTGGGAGTATGGGTTCGAGTCACTTCTGGGGTGTGAGTTTTCAGTTGTATATAGTCCTGGGGACCATTCAGGCTTGTTTGCATTTGTGTTCCTCACGTGTGCCCCAAAGAATGAGGTGATTTGATAAAATGCTATGCCCAAGATTACCATCCGAGTGCCGGCGGGGAAGTGGTTCATATAGCCTCGGCTATCACTTCCTTATGTCCGGTCGTGATGGTCAAGCGGATTAAGGCGTCCCTGTACATACCAGTTGTGGGAGTATGGGTTCGAGTCACTTCTGGGGTGTGAGTTTTCAGTTGTATATAGTCCTGGGGACCATTCAGGCTTGTTTGCATTTGTGTTCCTCACGTGTGCCCCAAAGAATGAGGTGATTTGATAAAATGCTATGCCCAAGATTTCCATCCGAGTGCCGGCGGGGAAGTGGTTCATATAGCCTCGGCTATCACTTCCTTATGTCCGGTCGTGATGGTCAAGCGGATTAAGGCGTCCCTGTACATACCAGTTGTGGGAGTATGGGTTCGAGTCACTTCTGGGGTGTGAGTTTTCAGTTGTATATAGTCCTGGGGACCATTCAGGCTTGTTTGCATTTGTGTTCCTCACGTGTGCCCCAAAGAATGAGGTGATTTGATAAAATGCTATGCCCAAGATTACCATCCGAGTGCCGGCGGGGAAGTGGTTCATATAGCCTCGGCTATCACTTCCTTATGTCCGGTCGTGATGGTCAAGCGGATTAAGGCGTCCCTGTACATACCAGTTGTGGGAGTATGGGTTCGAGTCACTTCTGGGGTGTGAGTTTTCAGTTGTATATAGTCCTGGGGACCATTCAGGCTTGTTTGCATTTGTGTTCCTCACGTGTGCCCCAAAGAATGAGGTGATTTGATAAAATGCTATGCCCAAGATTACCATCCGAGTGCCGGCGGGGAAGTGGTTCATATAGCCTCGGCTATCACTTCCTTATGTCCGGTCGTGATGGTCAAGCGGATTAAGGCGTCCCTGTACATACCAGTTGTGGGAGTATGGGTTCGAGTCACTTCTGGGGTGTGAGTTTTCAGTTGTATATAGTCCTGGGGACCATTCAGGCTTGTTTGCATTTGTGTTCCTCACGTGTGCCCCAAAGAATGAGGTGATTTGATAAAATGCTATGCCCAAGATTACCATCCGAGTGCCGGTGGGGAAGTGGTTCATATAGCCTCGGCTATCACTTCCTTATGTCCGGTCGTGATGGTCAAGCGGATTAAGGCGTCCCTGTACATACCAGTTGTGGGAGTATGGGTTCGAGTCACTTCTGGGGTGTGAGTTTTCAGTTGTATATAGTCCTGGGGACCATTCAGGCTTGTTTGCATTTGTGTTCCTCACGTGTGCCCCAAAGAATGAGGTGATTTGATAAAATGCTATGCCCAAGATTACCATCCGAGTGCCGGCGGGGAAGTGGTTCATATAGCCTCGGCTATCACTTCCTTATGTCCGGTCGTGATGGTCAAGCGGATTAAGGCGTCCC